TGACTCCAGCACCCAACCTGGGATGCGGCCCAGATCTTTTGGGAACATAACAATCTTGTTTGAATCTCAAGGAATCCCTAAGGGAGTCGCTGCAGTAGTTAACTGTGCCAGGAGTTGGCCACATCGACGACCGAGCGAATCCGTCACGTGGCAGTGGATCTCATCACTTCTGCCTCTAGTTTGCAGAGCGGTTGCTACCAGAGACCTCATTCCCATATAGGTATCAGCGACTGTGATCCCATCACTTATTAACCCACTCTTTGATAAGCTAAACAGAGAGTCATTACAAGACATTCAACTCAGATGTCAAATCCCGTGGCTGTTTCGTGAATCCCCTCCAATGTGTCAACAACTTCTCTAAGGTCCAGAATTAGACAGGGCAGTCCCGAAGCCGGTTCCCTGGAGGGCAACCTTGGCTGCTGGGTGCTCAGAGGCACCGCCGGCACGCTGCAGCAGGAAGCAGCGCAGTCTAACAGCCGTCCCTGCCTGCCTGCTGCTCCCTGAGCCTGGGCCCTTTCCCAGACAGCAGCTGTTTTAAATGACACTGAGGCTGGGCAGCCCCCAGAACCTCCCTGAAACGTGGGAGACATAAAGTCTAAACCTTCATCTAAGCTCTCGCCCAGAAGCCCAAATTCCCCGTGAGGATCTCCCATCTAAATTGCCCACTGCGTTTCTCTTCTTTTGAGATGCAAGGATTCATTTTACCAGGAGGGAAGCAAAGGCAGCCCAAGGAGAAATGAATAGTAAAGAAAAAGAATTGTACTGAATAGGAACGAAGCCGCTTCTCCCGCAACGTCTCCTTATCTCATGTAACATGTACTACTGGGCGCAGAGTCAGTGGATGGCAGCATCTGGCTCACTCGCAAAGACTGGTGCCTGTGAGATTAGATACGGACTTGCTCACGCAGCAATACTAAACTGACAACTGCTATCGGAAACCCGGCGCTGAGAAAAAATGAATGCAGTCTCCTGTTAAAAACATCTCCATCAAAAGCGAGGCACCCTGGGAATGAACACAATGAGAATAACATCATTTCAGTTAACACAGAAGCTGAGCTTGTATTTCCACGGAGCTGGAAGCAAAGCCATAAAGCTAGATGGGTTCTGGTTCAATTCAAACTATTCACTTCAGCACTTGGGTAAAATTTCAGGGTCGCTTCTCTAAGCGATCGCTCTTCTACAGTGGTTTAAATTAGCATTAACAGATTCGTTAACTTCACAAGCTTTTTCTCTGCCCTTTCCTGTATAATTCGCTCTCTCAAGACTTCCCTCTCCAGGCTCATCTCTGCCTTTCACAGCAATTTCACAGCCTTATAAACCTCTCAAATATGCCACAGTTCTAATATTCCAGATTCCTCCAGCAAGCCAGGGAGGCCAGGTTAAGGGGAAAAAAAAAATCTCAAGTTACTGGTAAAAAACAATTAAACAATGAAAGGCCACCAGGTACTCGCTGGCAGGTCACCACTCCGGTGTGTTAACACAATTGTGCTTCTGAAAACTACCCAGAAACAGAGCCAAATCGACACACTGCTATGGACACTCCCAGGTCAGGGGTGGGCTCAGGCAAAGTTTTCACATCTGGCTCCAAATTATTGTTGTGGCTCTGAAGTCTCCCCAGTGGAGACACCGCAGTGAATGCTTTTGCTGTTGGTTTCCCTCTCGGCTACAGAGCCAACAGCGATGTCCATGCAGAGACAGAAGGATTGTCCTGAATAAGGAGATTAACACCGGTGAGGTCTAGCTCAGGTCCACTGTGAGTCTGCTGTGAAGCCTTAGAGGCTTAAGCCAAAGAAGGGGGAGAAAAGACTGGGTTAAAAGGGACTTAGTCAAAAACAAAAACAAAAAAACAAACAAAAAAAGCAGCAGGGAAGAGGACATTTGAAGAGGTTATTGGCAAGAGACCAAGGACAAAACAAGGGGAAAGGTGGAGAATTCAAGCGGGAACCTTCTTGACATGTGTTTGGAGCTCGCAAAGTGGGAGGAGACACAAACTAATTAGTAATATCAGGACAGGAGCCACGCTAGCCTATATAAGCTGGTGGGGCATTTTCTTTTTCTATCGTAACCCTGCTGTACTGCCCAGCGAAGCAACAGCTCTCCCCGAACTCATCGAGAAGGTAAGCATACTTTGTTCGTTTCTTTTAATGGACAGCAATAAACATGTACCACGTTATTGACTGACTGACTTATCTCTGAGTCTTGCTCCTTGACTAAAGCACAAAACAAACAGAGTTTAGACCCTCCTCCTGAATGAAAGCACTAGGGCAGGCTCAAGAGGAAGGCTGAGGTTAGGGAACGTTGCAGGGATCTTAATTATCACGAATTCTCTAGCAGGCTGAGGACTTCTTAGTATTTCTTAGCCCAGTTGGCTGAACCTTTGAGAAAAACACTGGAAGTCTCTACCACCTCCTTCCACTGCCTTTCTATTTTGCAAAATGAAAAATGCCCAGACAGTAATAATATGCAGTTAATGTGATAGTATATCTGGATTTTGCTGTCGCGGAGACAGATCTCTGAAAATCTAAATGGGAATGGGTTTAATGAATATTTGAATCTGAGATGAGCTTCCTTTTTGAACTAATGCTTTGAAATGTATCTTCTGTGGAAAACCCTGACCTTCTCTCTAGCAGGGGTCAAGTGCACTATAATCTCTCTGCTTTGGGGAATGTGCTTGTGCATGCTTGTGTTCGTATACATGACACAACACTTCATACCCACCCGGCTTTCCTCAACCTCTAATAATTGCACAGGCTGTGCTGAAGGTAGAGTTGGGGAGAATCTGGCCCTTTCCTCCCATTGTGCTTGGATGCAGGAATTCCTCTAAAAACACACTGCGCCCAGCGCTGGCTGGCTGCATGCTGCACAGGAACAATGCTGACAATGCAAGATACAATGGCTGCAATTGTGTGGCAGCAGCCTCCCAGGCAAACAAACACCACCTGTTAATTCAAATCCTCTTGATTTTAAATCAAGAACTACTTGAATTTTGTCAGAGAGGGAGGAAAACTCCAGCCAAGGGGAGAGAGCGCTAGATAACTTTTCTGCCTTTTCAGGGACAAAAGACCAACACCTAGTGATAAGAGAACCAATCTGGAAATGAGAATTATCCGTGAGAGTTAAGATAATAAGCCAAATAACAGCCTGTGTTCCTATACCAGCCACAAGCACACAATGAATGTGTCTAGGGCTTGTCTCAACTTCAACAAGTGGATAAAAAAGTATTTGCAGGACAGATGCTGCAGGACTGAGGCACCGGCATGGAGTTTGCTAGGCTACTGCTTTAATGAGGCATTACTGAGATGCCGGTCAGTATGGCGTGACATGGAAGAAATGTACGCAAGTGGAAGGAAAATTGATTTAGGGAGACCCAAAGTTGCATAATATCAGTGCTTTGCTACAAGACACTTACTAACTCTGAAAAGATGAGAAAAAATCAATAGATTGGCTTCTTGGCCCTGTGATGACTTCTTTTTCATACATGAAATATATATTTTTTCTCCTGTTCTCAGGGGTTCCATTTCATAGCCAATACAAAAATATTTAGATGCTTTAGCTGAGAAACGCTCAGTCTTGCTTATGTGAACATCCTTTCCGAGGAAAACAGTGAGACACTTGTCCAAAGGCACAAAGTTTTCTAGGTAAGAGGTGCTGCAAACTTCTGGAATCACTGGGGAACAGCAACAGCGCCCCAAACCTAGCTCTCATTTATATGGTACACCATGCTAAAATAGTTTGAAACGGTTACCTTGCATTTTCACCACAGCACAAATCAGTACTTGAACCCTAGAGGTCAGAGTCACATCCTGACTGCTGTTTGCCTGGGTCATCCTGCTGCTCCTTTATCACGCTAAACTTAGATACCAGCATCAGGAGTCCACACTGGCTTTCCTGTCAAATGTATGTCTGGAGCATCTCTCCAGAGCTTATTCAAGATCACGTAGGGCACCTAAAGTGACCTATCTGAGCACAGAACTTACGGTCTTTAGTTAAAAAACTGAGATCAAAAAACACTTTCACAGAGTGGTGGAAATAAGGAACATAAAAATAAAAATATCCCCCAGGAAGTCAAGCACTCCGTTCCAGCAGAACAGTCCTTTCACAATTATTTCCATTTTCCTCTTCCTTGCATCAAGAAAAGAAGCCCACTTTTGGACACTGAAAACTAATTTTAATTTAACTTTAATAGTAGATCTTAAAAAGATCTGTTGTAGGCTGCCCTTCATGCAGTACCCATCAGAATACACACATTTCAGCTTAACTTTAAATTCAAGCACCACTGTCTTAAACTTCTCTGAACATCTCCACTGTTCTGGAGTCAACAGCTGGGATAAGCCACTATTTGAAGGATTAACTCCCTTGTTTCTCACATCCTTTTTTAAATAGCTGCTTTTGGCCACTCCATGAAACAAGATAAGGTGTTAATGGACCTTTGCTCTGAGTATTTGTGGCACTTATTGCTGCTTCTTCTTATGTCACAAGTCATTAAAAATGCCAAAATATCCTCTTCTACCTCTCCTGGTGTCGGTTGCCAAGTCAATGTTCCTTTCTGTTTTCTTTTGTCCACTAAGTAGAGGTAGCTTAAGTCCTCCGCAGTCTGTGCTTCTAGACAAACAGGAGTTTCTGAGGAAAAGGTAAATATACGTTTTGATACTTTCTAATGTAGGTGCTTGCAATCATCTTAGCCATTAACCCTGTGAAGGGAAAATGCAAATCATCCAGGAATCTTCGGCAAAATGAGCTGATCCTGCTTACCCCCAGCCATGGCGAGAAAGCCCTCACTGCTGTGGTGATAGCCGAACCACCGCACGCAGGAAGACAGCTGTCACTCAGAGCCTGGGATGCGATTCGGGGTGGCAGTGAAGCCAGCAGGACTAGATCTGGCTCTTTACAGTGCTATGAAGACCCCACCTGAAACTGAGCGTGCTCTTGGCCTAACTGTTACATACCAGGCTGCTCTGCAGATGATGGGTATGTTTCATACTGATTTCCTTCCCCTTTAGCATACACAAACTAATAGGAATGGCGACCCGAAGTTCTCTGAGAAATATATGTGATCCTTCCAGTAGCCCAGTCTTGAAAGACACATCACTTGACGGACAGAGACATAACGAATGTGAGTTTAAGCTGCACTGCTGGCCAGAACGTGCCCATGATCTCCCACCAAGCACTCCACTATTGAATACTCTGGAAGAACAGGTATGCAGAGCTTTGACGCAACCTTCATCGGGGTGAAGTTCAGGGCAGGCTGGTGGCACTGACTCACTCGGTCACCTGGTCTTCTTGCCACGCCAAATGCATTGAGCTGATGCCTGTGAAAATCCAGAACAAAGGAGTTCTCCAGACTCAGACTTGCACTGTGCAGTACTGACACTCGCTCTACACAATTTCCATCTTGGCAGCACAGCTCAGGTGCCACAGCCAAATAGCACCCCAATAGCAGATAAAAGGCTTCAGATCTCACAGGGCCTTGTGTGCAATTACTATATATCCAAGGATAAAAATTTGCGTGAACAAGAAAGAAAAGAGTCTCCACTCAGTCGTTCACCCCAGAAGTTCTTTGCAGTTCATTCTGGTCCTGTTCAGTGCAGCCATGAATTCACGCTGCTTCACTGGGAATTGGGAAGTATGCACTTAAGTGCCTTCCTGTAGCAAAGCAACAAGTATGTGTTTTGATGAATTAGGGCCTCTAGCATGACCCTGTTACTTCTCCACTGTGCAAGCTGACCAGACAATGGCTCTGACGTTTCTTTGCGTGCATGTTATGTTCCAAGCTGCACAACGTCTCCAAATTCCTGCAGCACAAACAGCTTTTCGCTCAGCATTCAGGGAAGCATATAAGGTATGCTAGCACTGGACACACAACATTTCTTTGCAAATGCAGCATCCTTTGCTTTTATGACTTAGCAACACAGAAAGCATAAGTTAGGTAAAAAGAGAGATTCTTTAAATTGAAAATGTAAATGCACTTTCACCAGCGAACAGCATTTATCTTGGCTGGAAATTGTTGCTACTTGATTTAACTGAAAGTACATCCAATTCACTTATTCCATTATTTCAGAATAAAAGATGAGAGAAGTGAAGGTTAATGAATCAAGGTAATGAATTATAACTGAGCCAGGAAAAAGCCTTTCAACACTGAGAAACTATCCCTAGCATACTTTTCTTTTCTTCCTCCTCTATTTAAGCCCCTTATCTATTGTTTCCTATCCACAGTTAAATTCCACACTCTTCTACTTAGTGGTGCTGTCTTCAGCCATTTTCTTGTGGAACCTATGCTTGCAGTAACTGGGCCCTTCCAGAAAAAATATAATCTTTATTTATTATCTGCGCAAATATTTTCTACTTCATGAAATACCACTATCAGCCCTCTAATAATATATAATAAGAAATTGGCCAGGATGCACGTTAACCAGCCACTCTTTCAACCAGACTCAAAACCGCTTAACCATATGTCTTAGATCTGCATGAGTAAAACCTAGGAGTGAGGCTGCTTTAGCTTAAGTAATCTATCCCTATTTTTGAAGTATGAATTCTCTTCCTCAGCTGCCAAGAAGGCTTATACCAAAGTTGCAAGTGAATCAAAATCTAATTCCAACAGTTATGTGCTGATATCATCTGATTTAGACTATCAACTCACAACCTAAATGCTTTACATCTCACATAATCTGTTATTCACCAGTCAAAACTAATGCAGCTCTAGTTTTGTATTCATTCAACAGTGTGCTTTGTCTCATGTTTTCTTTGCCCTGACAACTACCAAAAATTAGTCTGATCCTTCAGGAAACCGAGTACACGCCAGGGAAAGGTTTGGCCATTTTTAATTTGCTGACTCACTTAATCATCGAAACAACTTCCTAGATATGGTGGAATCTCCATCACAGAGAGTCTTGAGATTCCAACTCCAGGGAGCCAGTATCTCCTCAGGAAATCCTGCCCTTCCTGAAAATACCTTTTCACCAGGTGGCCCTAGTTTCCAGTATGCAGCAATAATGAATGATGGAGAGAGTAAACAGAGGCATTGTAATGTAATGTCTTTTTTTTTCCCCCCATGAATTCTACCAAAGGCTCAGAACATCATCATGGAAAGCAGCATTGATGTTAAAAGAGAAACCAAGGGGGAGAGAAAGCCAAGAAAGCAGAATCCATTGAGCAAAGGTGGAAAGAGAGTCTGCAAAGCTGTTGGCTACATTACCGGGGACATGAAGGAATTTGGAGGCTGGCTAAAAGGTAAACCTACTTCGTTGTAACTAATTAGGGTATTCCAAAGAACTATATCAAAGCAATAATAAGTAACTTCTCAACCACATGATTCCGATTGGAGTGGAACAAAAATGACTGTCCTGATCGACTTCATTTTTGTAGGAGACACTCAGCTTTGTACAGAGCGCTACATACTGCTTAAACCTTGAGGAAAACTGAGATGACATTTACCTCCCAATATGCTATGTATAATGTGAATTTTGTCTGATGGAACATAGCCCAGAATGCTTTTGTGTTCTGTCATTCCTTATAACATTCTCTCTCCTTTCAGCTGAGTAGTTTCTCAGTCAAGCCTAATGCCACTGTGACGTTAAATTACACATAGGTAGGTGTGTTTGCTCCCCATTATAAATCAGCAATGGGATACTTCCACAAGTTGCCATCTGAGACACAGACGTCATAAATTAGCCCGTTCATATGAAACTGGTCCAGTGTACTTTATAACGGGGGACTCTGGCAACCACACTGTTCATCTCAGCTTTCCAGCTGCAAAGCTTAGTATAGACCATAATAAATTCTGGTCAGCTTTTACAGTCTTGTTGATTCATCGCTTCAGTCGTCCTGCCAAGTTCCACTGCCAAAACTCTTCTTGAGTTTCAGAAAAAAAATCCCAAATCAGTCTCATCTGTGCTTTTTTATGTATTTATTTAATTTGATCTCTTCCAGATAAACCTCTCATGATCCAGTTTATTGACTGGGTGCTACGTGGGATATCCCAGGTGATGTTTGTCAATAATCCCCTTAGTGGGCTTATCATAGTTGCTGGTTTCCTGGTGCAGAATCCTTGGTGGACACTCACAGGCTGTTTGGGAACAGTTGTCTCAACTTTAACAGCACTTGTTCTGGGTCAGGACAGGTAAGTTCATCCCTTGCCCCTTGAAAACCATACTGTCAGGTCAGTGCTGACATGACATGCTGAAAAAGCAATTTGGACGAAAAGCATGTGTTTAGCCATAGCTAAAACTGTTAGGAACAGATAGCTCTTCCAGCCAGCTGCATCTGATGCGTAGGGACACAGGGTATGCAGCTGTGTGCAATGACAGGCTGCATAAATGCATAAGGAGTAGTCGGGGCTGACAGGACATGTAACTCAAGCATGTGAGATTGAAGGTCAGTGCACGAGATGTGGCAGGTCATCATCATACAGAATCGCGACTGTGCACGTGGAGGAACGGTGTGATGTGAGCACAGCACTTGCAGGAGAGAAGATTTCAAGATAGCTGGCTTTTGTTCCACACAGATCAGCCATAGCAGCAGGCCTGTATGGCTACAATGGAGTCTTGGTGGGATTGCTCATGGCTGTCTTCTCCGCTAAGGGAGACTTCCACTGGTGGATTCTACTCCCAGTAGCACTGGTGTCCATGACGTGGTAAGTCACGCATCTCTTTGGCTCCTTATTCCAGTCCTCATGTCTCTGCACTGAGACTGAGCCAAGATATTATTATGTGCTGTGCTTTACAGGATCCAAACAACAAAGAAACATAACTGGCATGCTTGTGCTTCTAAAACTGTATCATTATCTGTACTTTTAAACCTGAATGTAAGCCCAGAACAAATGAAATACACATTTAATCACAAATAAATCCAAAGGCCATATGGACATTGATGGTTACCCATAGTTAATTCAGTGCCTTAAATGTTAGCCATATTGCTGTGATGCTTCAACTCATTTTTGTCTCAAGAGAAACATTATTTTCAGCATTCCCTGCCACCATCAACCACAAGTGTTTCATCTATTTAAGCTACCATATAAAAATCTCATAAAAATTTACCACTCTGGGTACAGAATTACAAAAGCTGTTCAGTAGTTCTAAGATGATGGTTGATGCTAATGAAAACAAACAACTAAAAACACTTTACTCGCATATGTGACACCATACTCTGTTGAGTAGTTGGACAGTGAAAATTTTGAAAATTGGTCTTTGAGCCCCAAATGTCTGGCTGGAGATTACTAAATCATCCATGCAGATCATCGGCCTGACTGAAGTTCATGTAGTTTTATACTCATTTTAATAAACATACTTCCCATGCCAGGAGTTACTTCTGATGACCCTGAACCATAACCTTAAACAAGAACATTTCTTTCCAGTTCACTGAGATCTGGCCCTGGCGTCCTAAATTCAATCCACTTCAAGTACTTAAAGAAAAATTAAGCACTGAGATTGAGCTGGAGAATAACTCCTCTGAATCACTGGAGCTTCACCAGTTCATACCAGCAGGATCTTGGCCCCTTCACGGTCACCAAATTAAACACAATATCATATTGCAAAACTCAACAGGAACCCGCACGCTGCTAACTGAAATGCCCTGGGAAGGGCATAAAATTTGCAAAGTGACCCTAACATATCTCTCACTGTCAGAAAAACTGACGAAATCAAACAGCTTCTAAGAAAAAGAATGGACAAAATGAATTTCCTGCAGTTGTCCAAATACTTTTTTTTTTTTTTTTGCCTAGCAGAGTTACTAAAAGTCATTTGTGATCACAAGCTCCTAGTGAGATCATTATGTTCTTCTTTCAGCCCCATTTTCACCAGTGCTTTAGGCTCAGTCTTCAGTAAGTGGGATCTGCCTGTTTTCACCTTGCCTTTCAACTTGGCCTTGACTCTCTATCTGGCTGCCTCAGGACCCCATAACCTCTTCTTCCCTACAACTCTCATTCAGCCTGCAACAACAACACCCAACATCACCTGGACTGATGCTGAAGTGCCAATGGTAGGATTCCCTAAAAATACAGCCTTCTCCATTTACAAAGAAATCCACTATGGAGCCATATTACCTTCCTTTATATTACTGCGATAGGGTCTGGCAATACAACATAGCATTTATAAAACAGCTATTACCCAATACATAAAGGATGACTCCAGGAATCGACATTTTTGATAGCTTCAAAACGAGAATCTTTTTCGTATCTGGTAACTTTTGTTTACAATTAGATCTAAATGTAAATATTATAATCTTCAAAGAGCCTCTGGAATCTAATTACCCATTACTATGGGTATACTGGTCATGGATCTATAGCTCAGGCTATGCTGAGACTCCAGTTAACTTACAGGTTAATTTTAGTGTTCTACACAATAAGTGTTGTGTTTTCAAAAGTACATCAAAATTCAATCTTTCTGTTAAGAAATGAGCATACAGATATTACTATGATGGAATTATTACAAACTTGGGTGCAGGCACATATCCGTATATTTTTAGCTAACATTCAAGTGGGACCTATCCAAAGCAATATTTTATTCTCCTGCATGGCAGAGTAAACAACAGAGAGAGATAATAGAGTAATAGCTTTCCCCTAAGGCTCAGTAGACTATTTTAAGCAGTTCCCAGAGAATGATTAAGAAAAAGAAGTTAGCTGATGCTAAATAGCAATCCACATAGGTGACATTTCTAAAGGGACCTTTATCTATGATGGATAATTTCATGGGGACCATAACTGGACTGTTCCACACGGATGGAACAGAACATTTTGAAGAAGAGTGTCCCAGAATCATCTCTAAGCTGTAACCAAGTAGGACTCTGTCTCACCAACTCTGCAACTTTCATGCATTCATATTCCTAGTGAAGGGTATGTGAGGAATACAAATAGATACACTCTTACCTGGAAAAAGTCTTGTAATGCTGACCAAGTCGTACTGGTGTTTCGTCCTCTGATCTGCCCATCATCTACCTAAGCACTTCCATCTCCTAAACTGATTATCATGTTCCATAACGAGTTGTAGAAATGGCCAAGTCAAAGTGAACGGCGCATGTAAAGTCAATGAAGAAACCCTTCTGAGTCCTTTAATGGCTGATATTTACCCTTGACATTATCATTATCAGAGATCAAAAACCTGACTGAGGAATTATTGATACCAGCTGAAGGAACAAGGCTTTATTTATTTTCCTTAAAGCCCCGTGGCAATGCCATGCTGTCTCCCTAGAACTGTAAAAACTTTCCACTTACAATCCAGAAAGCAAGACTGCATCCAGCAAATGCTGACTACAAACCAGGCCTGTATTCTGGAGGCTGTCACAGTCTATACCTGTTTATTCTTTTCTCTGCATCTTAGAAATAAAATAATTAGAGGGATCTACCTAATTAGGGAGGTGTAATGCTGTAGACAATACTTGATACATAAAGGGAATTTCTATACTGAGGCAGAAGGTAAATGTTCTCATTTCTTGTGACTGTCAGCACACCAAGGCCCCCCATTACCTAACTTGCTTTTGGGTCACTTATTAACACACCCTATTACTAGGTTTGCAGAGGAAAACAAAGAAGCAGCTCAGTGGGATGAGAAACGCATGAATACGTGAGAGAGAGTCACAATAACTAACAGCTCCATCACACCCTGAGTCAACTGCCCAGAATAACTGCTCTGTTGCTAAGTCAAAGGAGACTCATCAGTGAATTTGACAGGACATCAGATAAAACTTGGAGTAATTTCCATTCTCATCTGTCCAAAGTGAGGACAAATCCATTTTTCTGGTAGGGGTTTCTAGGCCGTATATTTTTATAACAAGGAGTCCCCTCAAGAGTGCATTTGAAGGCAAATTCCCTCGGTTTCAAGGCTGACGTACTGAGTTGGATTTTCTGATGCACGGTAGTGCAAGCTGCTGCCTTGGGCACTAAAAGTCCATCTTTTTCTTCCATCCAGCCAGCTATTTTTACAAAACCTCCAGAACTTAACAGAACTTCTGTCATTCATTCAAATTAGGTTGAAAGTGGCCAAGAAAACTAGGTTTTTCAAAAAAATGAATTAACCAAGCAGATAACAAATTGTCCTTTTTTCATTCTTGCAGCTGCTCCAATCCATTCCAGTCGGAATTAGCCAGATATATGGCTGTGATAACCCCTGGACTGGGGGAATTTTCCTGGTTGCTCTATTTATCTCTTCTCCACTCATTTGTCTGCATGCAGCAATTGGATCAGCAGTGGGGATGCTGGCAGGTAAAGATTTGATTTCTGTCACAGATTTATACAGAAGCACAGGGAATGAAATAACTGGAGTGGCTGGAACATTTATAGTCACAAATGTTTTTTCCATTGGAAAATGACAGCTTGAAAAAGAATATAGACTTCTGTCTTATAAATTCTTTTGATGGACTTCCCCATTTTCTTAACTCATTTTACGGGAGTGGAAATATTAGGAAGAAAGAAATGTATTTTTGGTTAAAATGTATTTTTATCATGAAATACTTCATTTCTGGACATAGTCTGATGTTTTTAGGAGCAGTTTAATAAAAACCATAGCCATGAGTCTGGATGCATTTACAGTTCAAATGTACCCTCGTTCACCCATACATCTTTCACTGAAATCGCAAATCCAATGACTCTGAGCTGGGCCAAATCCAGCTCAGCTGCACCGGGGAAAGTCCAGAGTGATTGCACTAGATTAAGGTGGCTTTAGTCTTAGATGGTAGCAACTTGACTGCAAATAGGAATTTGGTGTACGTACACAAGCTTGAGCCCTCTAAAACTTGGATTCACTCCATTTCTCAGCTGCTTTCATCTCTTTGGCCAAGGAATGACATATGTTTGACTTATTTTACAGCACTGAGCTTAGCAACACCTTTTAGCAAAATCTACGCTGGCTTGTGGAATTACAACAGTTCCCTCTCTTGCATTGCAATCGGAGGCATGTTCTACGCTTTCACCTGGCAGACACATTTGCTGGCAATTGCCTGTGGTACGTACCCTATGAATTTTCCCTACTGCTTTATTTCCTTGTGAGGTGAGATAAGATGCATTTGTATTAGGGGTGGTCACATCTAGACAGGCAGATGGACTTAGGTGAGATGGATAAATGATCGAGACAGATGTTAGAGTCATTGCTCTAACACACCCTCACAAAATAAAAACAGTGCAATTGCCCTCAGCCAGGAATTACATTCAGAACAAAAGAAATGATCAACGGAAGCTGATTAACTAAGGTCTTTGAAATCAGGTGTTTCTTTTTGAGGTACTAAATGCGTTCACTCGTTGTTGCTGGATGCATTATGTTGGTCTTTCTCAGCGTAGATACCGTTTCCTTCTTTGGAGAAGGGCATATCTAACCCTTGAGAAACCTTGAGCTCAAGATCAGCTTGCACCTGTAATTAGACAGTTCAGTTTCCTAAGTCTATTGAAATGGCTACCAGAGGCACGAGCTAAGCACCACAGAATCATCGAAGAATTATTTATAAGGCAATTCCAAATTTCAATATCACGGAGAGCTGGGACTGAAACTATTGCTTATTCAGTGTGCATATAAAAAAGATTTAGCTTTGTATCTCATTGACTCACCTTCTAGCCCTGGAGGCAGGATAAATGTGGGAGGCAGGATAAATGTGAGTGGAAGGGTTATTTTCCTGTTTAACCCCATCCATCAAGCTACATACTTTCCACATCAGCACATGTTTCAAAAGCCTCTGTTTCCATAGTCACATTTTTCATTACTCCACCTCTTTTTCTGTTTTGACCTTTCTGCGGGCTCCAGGTTGAAGGGGACGTTCTGTGCAAAGGCAAGTTCTAAGAGGGGGCTATCCAGAAAGTTTTGTAAATACTGACTAAACAGGAGGAAGGAGTTACCCAAGACAGTGTGAGAGCTTGCTCAAGATGTTTGTCCTTTCCAGTCTCCTCAATGCTATGAGCAACCGAACTCACCAGGAATTATCCTTCTTTTTACAGCACTCTTTAGTGCCTACCTGGGAGCAACACTGGCTAATATGTTGGCTGTGGTAAGTAACTGGCTCTGAGTTTTGTTCAAGGGCTGAGGGATCAAATGAAAGAAGTCCCGTATTAAATAGGGTTTCTTTTTTTTTTTTTTCTTTCCTCAGTTTGGGTTGCCATTACTACTTACTATTAGCTCAGTACAACATAATAGGGAGGTCTTATTTCTGAATACAGATCTGAACATTTTATAGTTTTCCTCGCTTGTGAGGGAAATGACTGAGACTCGGAGAACAGTTCGGCCAAAGGCAGAACAGAGGCAGGAGAGGGGACACAGTCTGCCCAAGGGGTTGTTGTGGTCCCCACTGAAACAGGTCACTTACAATCATTATTTACCACTTGTCATCCTTGGAGCTCACATGAACATCCACAAATCAGCCCTCAAAACCCCCCAAAATAGTTACATGGCCTTACTTTGTACCTAACGTAACTGAGAGAGATGAGAAAGAGACCCACCACATGCGTGAACAAACCCTGAGTTTGTTTCTAATTGCCTTGCCCGAGCGCCAAAAGGCGGTCAGTACAACAGCCTGGGTTAAAACTGAATATTTCTGGTATCCACTCCTATTTTAGCTTCATGCAAAATCACAGAAGAGGCATAAAGAGAAGGCAGCCCTCTCACCAGAGTTGATAGATGCTATATGTTAACACACAATGTCAAGGTCTCATTAAGAAATCCTGCCTCTCTGGGAAGATGCTCCATGCAAAAATGCATCTCAAGGCTTCCTTGAGAAAGCATATTCCAAGCTGTCTGGCTCTGAGTTTTGTTCAAGGCCTGAGGGATCAAATGAAAGAAGTCCCGTATTAAATAGGGTTTCTTTTTTTTCTTTTCTTTCCCCAGTTTGGGTTGCCATCAGGAACCTGGTCTTTTTGTTTGTCTGCACTGACATTTCTGTTAATAACCACAAACAACTCTGCCATCTACAAGCTGCCCCTCTCCAAGGTCACCTATCCAGAAGCCAACCGAGCTTATTATCTGAAGGTGAAGAAACATCAGAAGTCTTGCTGTGAGGTATAAAGGTCCAAGAAGAGAGATGCTTTGCAGTGTGTAAGGCAAGAGCACAAGGTGTTTCCCCCTAAAAGTGATTTGTGTGCTACAAAGTCAGAAGACAAAAAAATCACTGCCTTCTGAGTGAAGAGACTTCCTCCACGTTTGTTTGTTCCATCCTGTTTAGATGATAGAATTGTGCTGTGTTGGAAGAACCCTTCCCAAGATCAATCTGTAATGATTTAAGAGCATATATGCTTTAAAAGACACTTGAATTTTAAGCAGTGGGGAAATGACTTAGAAGTTGGAAAGAAAACTCTGTTCATGAAATCCAGGTCACACCAATCAGATGTAAAGCAAGGAAGAACAGAGCATTTCTTGGCATCTGATAGGACTCCTAATTTATGGCTAGAACCAGCTTACCACAGCAATAGGATGAGAGCTTAGAGAGCTTCATAGTAGCAGAGAACTGGAATAAAGAGTGCTTTTTGCCAAGTAGAAAATAGGTGGTGGAGAATTCTACCTGGAGGATCTCTCAAGCCTAGCAGAGAGAGAGGTCCATTAATAATCACTGTATACAGGATGGACACAGATAAATTATGGGCAATGTTGTTAACATGTGCAAGACTTGTGGTAAAAAATCACAGTAACTGGGGGTTTGTAAAGCCCCTGCTTTTGAATGTTTTAGTGTGCACTAGTCTCTAACATTTCATAAAAAAAATTTCAGGCCCACCCAGTTGCAGAGAAAAGTCTGTAAAATTGAAGCCAAGAAAGCAAGTGTCAGTGAAAAGAATCTGTTAAAAACAAACAAACAAAGAAACAAACAAACAAACAAAACCCATGATTTTATTTTAATCTCATATTGTTGTTTAACAGATTTGGTCATGGGTTGAAAAAGAGGGGATAGCAGCAAAGTCATTGTTGTCCCATCCCTATATAATGAAGTAGTTCCTTTCAGTCTGTGCCATAAGTAGCATTAAGTTGAACTGATCTCCTTGACCTCACTTCCTAAGCTTTCCCCCAACAGTCTACAAATATCAAGTAGGAAAATGTGCATGTCCCAGCTTACTGCTGAAGTCGCTGCTCAGCCTTTTCCCCTCTGCCCCGGTGTTCAGAAGGGGACAGACGGTGGCCTGGTGGATTGTAGCATAGATAACCAGCAACTCGTGCCGACTCTGGTCCTGGAGAACATCATGGCAGGAGATAAGTGTAGCTGAGCTCTGCAGCAGACAAGTGGTGTGCTACCCTTGTATGGACTCCTAGGGTCTGGAGATAGTGAAGGAAGAAGTTGACTTTGCACCCCACAGACAGACTCCTGTGGCCACCTCACTGGGTGTTATCTCAGCCATCTTTCTGCTTGACTCATCAAGATGAGTCAAGCCCATGAGCCTACTTTTCCTGGCCCATGAGCCTGCCTTATCACCGTCCTCCTAGTCCCTAAATCCCAAATAAATTTAAGACTGGCAATAAGGAAGCTGATCACTCCAGGTAATAAACTACCAAAGGGCATGCAAAGGACTTCATGGAATAATTGTCAGTGAGCATTCAGCTTCTAATCTGGGTTTCTGTGTGATGCACAGCTGGTGTTGAAACTGGATACACAGCAGAAACAGAGAGAGGGGTCACCAACCAGAGAATATGAGCCAGATTCTAACATCTTGACCACAAATACTTTCCTCCATGCCCAGGTCCTTCAGCTGGCATTAGTCTACATAAGCTAGTAAAGCTGCTCGCGGGAAAGCAGATCAAAATCTGTTCCTCATGTGGCAGAGTAAATAAAATGTAGATCGTGAATACGGCAGCTGATTTATAAGGCCGGGAAAGGAAAATGTCTTTTTTAAACATCAAAAAGATCTGAGTGAAAAATATTTGGGATGAACTACTGGCACTATTTTCTGGCGAAGTGTTAGGTTTTCAAATATTTGACAGTATTTCTTTATGAATGACACTGCAGAGATCACTTGTAAAACGTACCATTTGCTGTGTTTTCCTCAGTAAATATCTACATAACATTTTTATGGTGTTAATTAAAAAAAAATACTCATAGTTCTTTGAGTTTGATGTAAGTTTTCCTCTATTTTTCATCACTGAGCTCTTCGAAAGACAAGTAGCTCTTAAATTACATCAAATGGTCTAGAAGATATTGGAAAACAAAATTATGAAATCGGCGGCGGGAAGAGGAGATCCCAGGTATTTGGGAAACTTCCATGCATTATATTTAAGGCATTTAGCTGCATCAACATCTTAAATGTACAAGTGCAAAGTCTGCTTCTGCAACAGGAGGTAGAGTTAGCTGAAGGCATAGCATGTGCCTCTAGAAGTACAGTCAAGGCTGAAAAACTCATTGCGAGCAGGACATAAGGACCTGATCCAGTGGTTCCTAGGGAAGTCACTGGACCCCTAGATTGGGGTTAGATTAGGTCAGGGGATGCATCTATATCCCTGTCAAATTCTCACGGAAAGGGAGAGCTTTCGGTGTCTAAACTGAAATCTCCCTTGTCAGGGACTCACGCCCTAGAGACAGGGACCAGGGCTAATGCAGTGAGGCTAAAGGTAAAGGCTAGGTTTCATTCATATGCCAAAATCTGCACGCTAGTATAGAGTACACACTTTATGACCAGTGTAAATCAGCACAGTTGCTTTGACTGGTGCTATTTCAGGTTGCTGTTGCTGAGCAACAGGGCCATTTTAGCAGTACTGTGGAGGAACCACACACGCAGAAGAGAAAAACAACAAAAGAGCAAGGCCGTGTCTCAGCCGTTAGTATGACTTTGCACATCGTCCAGCATTAATCCTTTATTCAACGCTCTCCAGAGAATTCAAAGTCTTGCCGTAACCCTATGCAGAGTAAAGTTTATTTGGTAACTTGTCACATATATCACTCTGTCAGAATATGCATGCCATGCTTTTTCCAATATCACCCCTAACAGTCTTTTCTTACAGGGCTAATTTATCTTATTATTGAAACTGTTCTGTAAGGTTTTTTTCTTTATATCAAATAAATACTATTCAGAGTTCACAAATCGCTGGTGTTTTCAAGAACTCTTTTTGCATCCTTGCTTTTGACATACAAATAGAAGCAACATCAGAATCATAAGAAACTTTTCTGCGGGGCCAGAGTTCTTCGGGCTCCTCTCTCGACTACTTCCTTCCCAGTGCAAACATCACATAGCGGAAAAAAATCTCACAGCATTAAACATCTTTAAAAAGGGGGCCACTTGAAAACACTGACATCCGCTTGGAAAACAGATTTCATCCAAAAGTCAAATTCAAATGAACTCTCTCACTGTAATTTGTTGATAATTGTCTAGTCTTTTGAACCTTGACATTCAGTACAAAGGATAAATTGATACAGAATTTGGCCAGAAGTAGGAATAATACACCGGCTAAGAAAGAGCCCAACACTGAGGAAGCAGAGCTACGTATTCAGAGGAAATACGTGAATATACTTGAACACTTCCCTCAGAGTCCAAGCGCAGTGAAAGCTAATATGGCCAGAGAATTATTAGTCGCAAATGAACATCTTTCTGATGCTTTCTCTTTGTAATTCTCAAATCCTTACCATGGAAACATATCCTCAGTTGGTAAAGTCTTTTTTTGTTATCAGTAGTTCAGCTTCCCTTGAGATTTTATATGAGATGGGGAAAGTGTGTAACTTGCAAAGTGAAAAGACCCCAATGACTTAAGAACCTCGCCCTGTTTATTCTCAGAGGTATAGATAGACCAAGGTAATTAGGCTCCCATACAATAAATGGGAAGTGTTCAAGCAGCAGTTGGAAGTCTTAATATTTCACAGATCCAGGACAAAAGACTTGGGTGAGGTCCCCAAAGACTACATCTATAGCAGGAAACGAAAAAGCTCAGGTGCTGGCACATGCACATTATCACCTCTTAACCGCTAGCATATGCCCTGGCACAGCGGCAGGTTGACAGCCTTTGTCAACCAGCATTTCCCAGGCAATGCCGAGACATGGCTCAGTAGACAGCATGGACCTCTCAGCTCCTCAGCACACCCTAAATCGCCTAGCATCTAAAACATTGCAAATGGGCTCTTGAGGTTAAATCTTTGAATGGGCTCTGGAGGTTAAATCTCTCGTAGACACCTCCTGACTGACCATGAGGACTTGCTATCTCATTTCAAGCAAGAGTAAAACAATTTTGCTTTATAGCACTCCTGCAGTTTTCATCAGCAAGAGCCCCTTTATGCCTCTGTCAGCCACACAAGTCCTCGTGGTGCCGTATAGGCTGGCGTTTAGATCCTGAGCTTCCCACACTGCCGGATGAAATCCTGCATGCAATCCCTGTATTTCAAACTACCCTAGAGGGAGATGCAGCTTGAAAGCTGTTCCTAAATGCAGAGCATGTTTAACCACCACGAGAAGAAGTCCTTAGAAGAAATTCAAAGGCTTACAAGTGAGCAATGAAATCAGTCCTGCAATCAAACAAAAGTATTTATGCAGGAAAAGATGACTCGGTTGTACTTGCAACATCAGAGCAACGGTTTCCGCTTTTAGGTCCAGTGAAGTCACCGGGATTACTTTTGTGAGTAAAATAAAACCACACGTGCACATGATTGCAAAAGTGGGGATTTAAAAATAAACACTTTCTAGGAAAATCTGTGTTTTCCTTTCTTTTGCCCCCCGTAAAATATATATAGATTGGAAAATGGATGGGAACCATGAGCTTGGAAAACTGACAAACTACAGAACTACTACAAACCCCCCTCACTTTAGATTAAACATTCTTGGATCGGTCATCAGTTTAATCAGGTAAGTTTGAGATCAGCAGGAGTCTGAGGATCAGATTTTTTAATTAGTATAATTAAAGAAATAATACTAAGAAAAGTGTGCTCCTGGCATTGGTACTGGAAAGAAAAAGAAGGAATTTTGGGGAGTGGAATTTTCCAGCAGACACTGCAAACAGTACCAGTGCCTCAGCCATAAAGGAAGCTGACAACCTGCTATAAAACACATTATAATGTACAGTTTTGGTGGGGGAGGATGTGATACTCCATAAAAAAAAATCAGCCAGTCTGGACTCCATCGCTGCACAAAGGATTTACTAGAGATGAAGGCAGTATTCATGTCGTTATACTGCACTGACAGCACAGCACGTACCACAGCGCAGGACAGCCCAGCATTGTGGGTTTCAACTTTATAGGAAATCTTTTGATTGTCTAATAATAGATTTTTTAAAGTTTTATTTTAAAATAAATTAAATGAAGGGAAATAAAGACACCTTCTCTTTATCTTTGGGCTTTCCTTTCTGGTAAAGGGGCAACTCTAAGAACCTTATGCTACTGCTTCCCTTTTGATGTGAGCTGCTTATGAGACACACACAGAGGAGGATATTGGAAAAGATAATGAAACTTTAATACAGCTCCTAAGAAAGAGAGAGGGAAATTACAAACCGATGTGAATAAAAATAACCTCCCGGGTCCCTTCCAGCACTAGCATTGCAAATTGTGCTGGAATTCACTCTCGTGCATAGGATAAGACCTTCTGCCACCCTGACACAGTAATGCTCTGCATTGTTATTGCAGAGACTGCAATGTCTGTGAAAGGCATTACAAATGGCAATCAAATTTATAGGGCAAGACAGTTATATACATCTAGAAAAAAACACAGAGGAGCAGATACAGCCCTAGACTCCAGGAAAAAAAAAAAAGAGAAAATGGCACAGAACACCAGTGAGCTATGAATTTAACATCCTGACTGTTGTTAAGGATCTGCACGTCAGTCTCTAGGGTTTAATCCTAAAAAAAAATCGGGACAGAAGCACGACTTCGTGTTAAATGCCCAGCACAAGAATCCAATATATGTGCCTCTGACTACACATTTCTTGGGTAAACTCTTTGTGTTTGTCTTTCTCATGCCTGAAAAGAAGATATATCAACCTCTTTTTCATCATGCCTTGTTTATCTTTACCTTTCAGATTCTTCTGTCGTCCAGGCAATGCTTGTCTCCTACTGGGCTCTCTTATCACAACAGCACCTGGTGCTCACTGAATGCTGCCCTGCTAAGGCCTAGATATACCCCATCTAACCTCAGGACCCCTCACTGAAGCGCCAAAGTTTGAAGTCTGGTTGCCCCAAGGGAGAGTCAGTGGAGAGGGATAAGCAGCACTTGAGTGAAATAATTGAATCCTTCCTAAAATAGATAGCTAAGATAAGTAGGAGCATTTTGACTTTCTCTACTGACTACTTTCTCTACTATTTTCTCTACTCGACTCTCTACAGCCTGTGCTGAGGCTGAGGGCAACTAGATGTAATTTTACTTTACAATCAAGTTAGATGGAACACATCTGGGCTTTAAGAGTAGATCCACAAATGGGTTAGGTCTGCAGTGAACTAGTTCTGAAGATGTACCACATGACTACAAGTTGGCTAATTACCAACTTAAGCCTAAATTCGAGATTAGATTCTCAAAACTGCTGCCTAACTGTGCCTTGTACCCCAGAGGCACACTGAGTCTTCACCTGTAATGTGTCCAGAGGTAGGAATAGGAACACAGACTAAGAAAACTAAATTTAGACATCTACATGTTGGTATCTGCATTAAGTGTCTAAGTCCTGCTATAGGCAATGGAAATCCAGTCAATGATGTCCCATCAACTGCAGTCCAGACAGCAATTCAGCTGGCCAAATATAGGGGTCAACTTTAAGGAAAGCTGGATCACTCTCCAGACTGCATGGACAATATTGACTATAACTACATCGACCGTAACAAAAGTGTGGATACCTACTCAGGCAGAGACACCAGCAAGTAGGTTTGTCAACCTGGGAGGTGACCCTGCCCCAGACGCACAAGTCCTTGCTCTTGGACACCTACAGACCCATCTGCATCCTGAGCCACTCATGCCTAGCCCAATAACCCTCACAAACCACGTGCTCGCCCATCTAGCTTGCCTGGAGGATCTAATCCAGCAGGAAGCCTGAGTATTTCAGAGCATGCCCACAGACCCCATGCACCCAGATACCCCAAGAGGAGGAAGAAGTGGCATTCCTTTCTCTGTCTTTAACCATACCTGTAATCACCGCTATACCACATGGAAATACGCTATCCTTACCGATATTGCTATATGCTCTAATTATCTCCATTATGTATTAATTTATACAGAGACTGGAATCTCTGCCCTACTGAGTCATGAATGTTGACAGATTAATGAGAAAACACAAAACACAGATTAGTGGGTGGCCTAATTCTAGATAGTAGCCCGAAGGAATGGATAAAGGTTCTGATGGACTTAACAGAAGTGACACTTATGTCACAGCTTCCTCAAAGCCTTCCTACTGGGAAGCTCCCAGGTAGCTCCCTGCCCACCACACTGGCTTTGGTGAATCTCACTGATATCTCGTGATATTCTCCAAGCTTAGACATCTGCCTCTGGCCAAGAACACCACGGACAGCATTACAACTCTGTAAATTTAATCCATCTGGCTGGCCTTAATGTGCATTCATTAGCAGAAGATAACATTAGAAGTAGGCTAAATCAATATAGACAAAAGATTAGAAAAAATTGAAAAGACAGTATATACCTGATCTTAATGTTAGTTGTACCAAGTTAAGCTAATGGGATAGCAGGAGAGCATAAAAAGCAAGAGGTAAGATGTGATTTTTCACTAGTAAGGCTAACAAAATACAAGCTCAACTCTCCAGAGCAGAACAGGTATATTTGTTTGCCTTATCTAGCAAGAGTGTCACAGTAGATAATAAAAGAGATGCTCTAAGACAATTTTCTTTTCTACCTTTAGAGACACAAGTTAGACTCCCTAATAATAAGAAACCTTTTCTCTCATCTTTGTTATCTGTAGCTTCACAGGCTTTGTACTGCAGTCTTCCACTTCACCATGGATGAACTGTATTGCACATTTCTTATTCACTGTGTTGTATTTACATTTTTAGTAAAGTACTTACAATATCCTGCGCAATTC